AACCATAAATTTAAAAGAGCATAAATAAAAACACAGTCATTCACATAATTAAAAAAAAATTACCACTCAGTACGTTGCCTAGTGCTTAGGCATTTCAACAAACATGAAAAATTAATAGTGCAAAACATGAAAAGCATTCAATTTAGTCATCAAACATGAAAACAATTAACAGAGTCAGTACATTCAATTTAATCTAAGATAAAAAAAATTATTCAAAACTAACAGTGTTAGTACCGTCAATGAGATATCTAAATGTCCAAACATTAATCAATGAATATCTAAATTTTACCTTGTTAACCAAAATTCACAGCAATAACATTATCAAAGCTATGAGGGTAGTAAAAGGTCAAAGCTAAATTACATATAATAACCCTAAAATACATTCAATCAAAACCCTATAAACATGTTTCATAAAAAAACCCAATTTATAATTGTACAAACCCTAATCCATAAAAAATGTCAATTTGAAAACCCTAACATCCAATTTCAAAACCATAACATTCAATCAAATACCACTAATAACTATTAACATTTAATTAAAATATGGCTAACAACTATAACATTCAATAAAAACCCTACAATCCTATGAAAAAACCTAATTTGAAAATCCTATTCTTACAAAACTTCTCAAAATTATTTGAAAATATAACATTCAAAACATCCAAATTAACACCCAATAGGAAAATAAAAATCACTAAAAAGCTACAAACCCCCCCCCCCCAAACAATTGTGTTGTGTGTGCTGCTGTGTGTATGCGCAATGTGTGTGTTATATGAATGCGATGTGTATGTGCGATTGTGTCTCTGTGTGTGTATAAGTCATCAGACAAATAGGGTAGTGTGTGTGTGTGTGTGTGCATGTGACAGAGAAGGTCGAAGTGGAGAGAGAAAGAGAGGAAGGGAGGAACTTGGGCGATGGTAGAGGAGCGATCTGATGCGTGTGTGTGTTCGATTGCGTGGGTTATGTGTGAGAGAGAAAGAGAGAGACACCTAATCGTAAAAGAGCCATGGCAGAGTGAATGGAGAGAGAGAAAAAGAGATGACGCCTAGCTTGGGAAGGAGATACACGTCTGGCTTGGGTTATGTGTTAGACTGGGTTGGTGGCGTGTGGGTTTTGTGAAATTAGGCGGGATTTGATTTTTGTGTGGGATGTGTTGTGAACGGTTGGATTAACTTTGATAAATTTAGATGAAATCTGAATCATTTAATTTAAAGTGAAATGAATCTGAACTGTTGTTGTGCTTTTCCAATTTTTAAGAGATGAAAATATTCAAATTTGGTTCTATCTTATTATTATAGATAACCATCCAAGTCAATCTCTATATGTATAACCGTCCAAGCTAATCTCTTTAATAATTTGAATGGGGATGATGAGAGATAAATGGAATATACTAGAATTCTCTAGAAATATAGATTAATTAGGATTGTCGGATCAATAATATTGAATCGATCTGAGTCGCGAAAAGTTCAAGACAAACCAAGTTAGCTACTTTATTATATAGATATTTTCCTCCCAAAAAATATCACATCACCTAATTCTTTCACATGTTCAATCATTTAATATTTAGTTAATTTGTAGTTTAACACAACTTTTATTTAATACATTATGCATACACGGTAGTATACACATGCTAAAATAATTATATTGAGTTATTTATTTTGAGAAAATTTTGACGCTATTTTTAAGAAAATAATAGGTTGAAATAAATTTTAAATGACGTAAGCAAAGAAATTAATTTTAAATTTTTTATAGTGGGATTAATTTTTTGATTGTTAGAATCTTATGTTTCATCATACTCTCAGGCTTTTGGTCCAATGATACTTATTGTCTTATAAAAGATTTATCTTCTTGAGGTCAAGTGTTCAAGTCCTCCTACCTTTTCCCCTTCCCCCTCCCCCTCCCCAAAAAATAAAAAAATTAAATACTTTCAGGTACGAGATATGATTAGTTTCTACAATATTTGTGATCAATCCCAAGAGTTTGGGATCTATTGCAAGGGTATGGGATATATCTCAAAATACTGTCGGAATGTGTGGGATTGATCCCGAACATCTTGGACTGAATTTTTTTTGGTAGCTAACACAATTTGTACAGTAACTTCCCCTCCATTTTGAAAATTGACTTACAGAGAGTTTGGGATCGATCACAAATATTTATGATTCATCCCAAAGAGTTCAAAATTCATCCGAAAGGTGATATCTTTGCCACAAATTCTTGGAATATCATCCAATTTCATTTAATTACCACTTAATTTTATCAATCTAAAATATAATTTCTTCAAATTAATACCAACATGACTTCAATTTCATCAAATTCATATTGAATTAAATCAAAAAATTAAGATCATCAAATAAAAATTCTATTTACTTACATTAACATTCAATTTCATCAAATGAAAATCAAATTAACACTAAATTGATTTTTAGTTTCATCAAATTATCATTTAACTGAATCAAGTGAACATTCAATTTATTCCATTTAACAAAATTTCAAATTTACGAAATTAACTCCAAATTGATTATCAATTCCAAATTCAGTTTTCATCAAATTAGCACTAAATTTATTTTTATTTTCTTTATTAGCCTTATTTTATCAATTCAACATTTTCTTCTTTTCGAGGTATAAATTGATAAAATTAAATGTTACAAAAAAAATGAAGGTTAATTTGGTGTTAATGAGATAAATTTAACGTTGAATTAATGAATTCTAATGTTAATTGAGTGACAATGACGCTCCATTTATTTTAAATTTGGTGAATAAAATGGAATATTAATTTGGTGAAAATTAATGTTAAATTGATCAAATTAAACTTCAATTTATTGTTAAATTGACGAAATTAAATTTTAAATTGGTAAACTCGAATGTTAATTTGATAAAATTGATGGTCAATCAAGTATTAATTGAATGAATTAAATATTAATTAGATGAAACTGAAGGTTAATTTTTTGCCAATTTTGTAAAATAAAAATTTAAATTGTTGAAATTAAACATGAATTTGATAAACTATTCAAATTAAATATTAAATTGATGAAATTTAATATTAATTTGAGTTGAAATTACCATCGCTTGATATAAAATTGCTGATAATTAGTGGTTAAGTTATCACCTTTTGAGAAATTAACACTATTATTAGGGTAATTACCAAATCTGAGGCATTAATATTAATACTATGTAGGATCTATCACAAATAACTTGGATATATCAAAAAGTATATTAGACTTTTACTGTTAAACATGTCAGGGATCTAAGTCTCCCCACTTTTCGAAATGGTACCAAAACGGAGAGAGATCCCCAGTACCATAGATGTTCCCCAGTTGGTGAAATTGATTGTACATCTCAATTGTCAATGGTTTCCCCCATTATAAAGGGTGCCCTTTTTCATTCTTGTTTTTAGAACTCGAAAATCATATTGTTATTAAATATTTACAAGGATTTAATTTAAACCAAAGGAAAAGTGATTGTTCATCCTTTTCCTTTGTCGTTTTTAGAACTCGAAAGTCATATTGTTATTAAATATTGACAAGGATTTAAACCGTAAAGTCATATTGTTATTAAATATTGACAAGGATTTAAACCGTAAAGTCATAGTGATTGTTCATCTCAATTGTCAATTGTTTCGTGCCCTTTTCCTTTATATCGTTTTTAGAACTCAAAAGTCATATTGTTATTAAATATTGACAAGGATTTAAACCAAAGGGAAAATGATTGTTCATCTCAATATATATGTATTCATTTGGATTTTACGATTTTTCATTTAATGGATAAATCTAGTGGACAAAAGAGGAATGATAACAAAATTAAAACTTATTCAAAATGTTTGTTGAAACAATAAGACTTAGTTCGGTTGTTAGAAAATTAATAGGACTTAATGAGAACATGACAGGTATAAAAACTGTTTGATTTGTTGCTTTAATGATTAAAGATTCTAAGTACTAGAACAAAAATGCATAAGAACAAATAATTTTTTGATTGGTTAGCAGAAATATAGTTTCCCATATCATAGACTAGCCGGCCCCAAAGAGGGGTTTTATAACTCAATTGTCAACGATTTTCCAATAATTGTAGATTAGAATTTCGACTATATAACTTAATAATAGCAATAATAATGATAGTGGGTCATCAATCACACGCTAATTTTTTATAACGTACTCCAGGTAGTGTCTTTATGAATAATATTATTTGGATATAAAATTTTGATCTAATAATGTGATTTTATTAAAATTATTAAATCAACACTAAGTTTCAGTGTGAAAAAGAAAGAGAGAGCAAAAATGGGTACCAACGCAAACCAACATTATGACAGACTCCAAGAAGTTAAGCATAATTACCTTCTTGCCATTAAAAAACAGATTTATTAATTTTGCATCTTCAATTTTGTTTCATATCACTCAAATATATAAGAGTCGTCAATTTCTTTTAGATATTATAATAGTTGAGAGTACAAAATGAAACAAATGTAATAATTCAAAAAGATAAAGTGTAATTTACCCTTACTATAGCAATACCAAAAAAAAAAAAAGAAGAAGATACTCAACGAAGGGCAAACCTAACAATATTCGGATGAGGTTTTACCCCAACCCCATAGTTGATAAGTTTAAACACTTCAAGATCAAATTGTTGGAGTTCCGATATGAGATTTCTACCAAATAACCTAGCCAACACGGCAGCAATGTAGGACCTACTTCTCAACGACTTGGCCACATTCCTCCGTTGACTCTTCCATTTAATTCTGGTGTAAACAAAATGATGTCAGCACAAATGAAGTTTTCAATGAAAACTTCATTTGTACTAACGTTTTTAGTCCTGTAAATGGTCTACGGTGTAAGCAAAAACCTGTTTTTATGCTAAAAACGTTATTACAACTGACGTTTTTTACATAAAAATATTATTCTAACTGACGTTTTTAAAAAAATCTGAGTTTGAAAAATACTTTGACAACAACCTTCTTTAGGTATATTTTTTGAAAACCTCACATTCGGATATATATACTCTTCATCTTGCCCCTATGCTTCCAACCCCCATCATCCCCAATTACTTCTATCATACTAGCCATCAACATTTGCATCTATATTTTCGAGAGAGAGAGAGAGAAAAAAATACAAATGGCTACCATTACCAACACCATTCCAACTCAGTACTACGACAGACTCCAAGAAGTTAAGCAGTTCGATGAATCAAAAATTGGGGTCAAAGGCCTCGTTGATTCGGGCCTTACCACCATCCCTCGCATCTTCCACCAGCCGCCCCACAACCTGCCCACCCCAAAACTAAATGCCCAAAAACCCAAACTCTTAATCCCAATCATTGACCTTTCCGATCCCCGATCAACGGTGGTTGACCAGATCCATCACTCCGCTTCCATTCTTGGGTTCTTCCAGGTAATCAACCATGGCATTCCAATGAAAGTTATGGATCATGTGCTCTCTTCGGTCAAGTCCTTTCATGAATTGCCGAAGACCACAAGAATGCAATATTACTGTAGGGATATGTCACGTGGTGCAGGTTATTTTACAAACTCGAATTTATATGAGTCCAAGACCGCACACTGGAAGGACTCTTTACAAGTCCGCCTTAGCCCCACACCTCCGAAATGGGAGTATGTTCCAGAGGTGTGCAGGGAAGCATTGGCGGAGTGGGACTGTGAGGTGGTGAAGTTGGGGAAGGAGTTGATGGGGATGCTAAGTGAGGGATTGGGATTAGAAAGAGAGAGGTTGAAGGATAAGTCGTTTATGGATTCCAGGAACTTGTTTGGACATTACTATCCGTACTGTCCACAACCGGAGTTGACAATCGGTCTGAAGTGGCATACAGATCCCGGACTGTTGACAGTGGTGTTGCAGAATGAGATTACTGGGTTACAGGTGAAACATGGTGAGGATTGTATTGATGTGGAGCCTGTGCCTGGTGGTCTAGCCATCAACATAGCAGATATGCTTCAGGTAGGCCACTCACACACCTCTTACTTCTTAGTTCTTACCCATGTCTTGTGTCTGTGTCTGTGTCTGTGTCTGTGTGTGTGCATATAACAAAATCAGCCTTAATTGCAATTCTCAGGATTACTCAATTTTATTTCACAGATCATGTCCAATGATGTATACAAAAGCGTGGAGCATCGAGTGTTGGCTAATCCCTTGCGTGAGCCACGAGTCTCTGTTCCATATTTTTTCAGCCCAAGCAAGGCTGACATGTTGTGCGGACCATTACCAGAACTGGTCTCACCACAGAAGCCGGCTATTTACCGGCAATTCACATTCTCAGATTTCATTCAGAGGTACGTCATGGGCGAGTTACAGGGCAAGACTGTGAGAAATTACTTCAAAGGCACTGGACAAGCAGGGAGAAACATACAGAAGTTGATCAGACATACCCTTTTGTAATTTCTATTACCATTTCAGTTTACCCTGTTATGTTTCCTAGACGGCTATGCAAATCTCAAATAAAGTTTTGAATTTTACTTGTCCGACTAAAATTACATTTTGAGGCTCAATTATGATGTAGCATACTCATACCCAAATAAATAGTGAGTATGATGTAGTATACTCACTATAATATTTGGATTAACTGTGGACCTTATTAAATATTGAGAACTCAATTTTTATCCAATGATTCCACTGAAACCACATTATTCAATAAGTAAATGAGATCAAATTTTTGGGTCTAAAAAAAGGTCCAAGAATATTTAATTTGTGTGTGTGTGACACATTTTTTGGGCAATAAAATTCGTCCAAATTTAGGTTCAATGGTCAAGAATGTCTAGAGCAGTTTATGCACACATCGATTAATTCTCTCTCTAGTTCAATCAAAGGTAGATCCCATCCATACAGGAATTACGATATTCACGAGGGATAAATTCATCGTAGTCTGATCTTAACTTTAGATAGTGAGATATTTGGGTAAAATTTTTAGGAAGGGAAAAAAAATTAAAAAAATGTTTGAGAAACTTCAACTTCTTGAAACGTCACCCTAAAAAACAAATTCAACTCCTTCTAATTGAATTAATGCCGTAATAACTTATTTCTAGGATGAGTGAGGCATAAATTAGCAAGGATATGTTGGGATCCAATTTTTGTAAATTTTTTCAACTTTTTTTTCTTTTTTCTAATCTTAGCCGATGTTTGATAACCTAGTTAACCACTTAAAAGATCATTCAAATCTCAAAAGGTTAATCTCAATTTGTATCTTAAAAGATAATTCAAATCTTAATTTGTACCCTTAAAATTTTAAAATATTAATTTATACCCTAAAAAACATAAATTCGTATCAATGTGCACCTGGAGTTAACTCCATCCATTTTGCTCTTAAAAAGTTTGGACTAATTATAAATTATTCTCCTCAAAGTTTCAATATTTTCATATTTATAATCCAAAAAGAATGTCATCTAATAACGTTGTTAAATAGCTCTTAATTTTATTGTATCATGACATCTTCGAGCCCTGCTCAAGTAAATAAAAAAAAAATTTAACTTAAAAAAAATTATAAAATACTTATTTTTGCATAAAATATTCGTTAAATAATAATTTTTTGTGAACAGTTAGACACAAATATTTTAATTGTCCAATCAAAATAAAGTTAGATCCAATGACCACAATTGTAGATAGAAAACAGTTACTTAATGAATATTATTTGTAAAAAATATGTATTTTTTAATATTTAAAATGAATTGTCGTAAATGTGAAATATATGACACAATGCAATTGACTTGACACGAAAATATTTTGTGTTAAAAATATTATTTTATTAACTCGAACACGACACGATATGAAAATGTTATGACACGATACAACTGGGAGCTGTTAACGAGCATTAATGAATGAGATTATTTTTGAATCATATGTGTAAAATATTTAAATTTTGAGGGGTACAATTTATAATAAACCCAAATTTTTTTAACGACAAAATAGATGATAATTAGTCTCAGATGCACATATTTATATCTTTCTTAGTGAAAATTAATGTTTTTCAACTTTGAGAATATAAATTAAGATTTGAATGTACAAGTTGAAATTTGCTAATAGCAAAAGAACAATGTTATATAAACTTAAAAAATAAAAAATTTATTTTTTAAATTCACGTAAAACTACTCGTAACTTCACAATTTAAGTGCATATTTTATTAAATTCTCACATTAGGTACCTGCATCATCATAAATAAGATGTCATGTTTTAATTACCTCACCGCCAATGTCATCAATCACAATTGACGGCACCTTCCAACCAAATACATCGCCACAACCTCCATCATCCCCAAATTGCTACCTCCCCATCGGACCATCACCACTCGCCGGCACCACTACTTGGCCACCTCCCCAGCCCCCACCATCCCTCCCACAACCAATCCCACGCTAAAACTTTAATACCATAGACACCATTCTACCACCACGATCACTTCCACTAGCACCTCATCAATTATCACCATCACCATCACTACCACAACCCCATCATCTCCACCTTCCACCCCACCATCATTCCCATACCTGCAACTCATCGTCTGAATCCAATTAGTTGGACCAAATATAATTGTTCATATCCAATCAATTTTATTATTATAGTCCATATTAAATCCGCAAAAAATCTAAAAATCGATCTGCAAATCCAATATAATATGAAGAACTCAATTAGGCTAAATTTTCGCAAATTACCTATAAAATACATGAAATAAACGCTTAACTCCATCTTTTATATATATATATATATATATATATATATNAACTTCAAATCGGCTTGCAATCTGATCGATATTGCTATATGCTTATGCAAAATGTGATGCCGGGGGCCTTGAATTAGTCTGGACTATCAATCGAAAGTATCGAATCCAAATTTGATCCAGTAAAAGGCCTAATTGCAATCAAACTCCTCATTGTTGTCAACACCTCTCTCAAATATATGCTCAACACCTATGACCGACAATTCCACACATAATATACAAGTTCGATATGAAAATCGACACAGAAGTAACAAATCTAAGTTTAGTGTAATGAGTTTGGAACAAGTTGACCCACCAAACATACTCGTCAAATAATGAGTTAACAAGAATTCAACTAAACTTGGCATGAAAACGACCACACCCCTTGTACACAATACAAACATTCCTAATACAAGATTATTATTGGCTGGGTTACAAGGCTCAAAGTATCAACCGAGTCCTATCTGACTCGGTACCTCCCCAGTCGATACTATCATACATTAGGTATAAATCTTGAGTTTCAAACTACCCGACCAAATCATTTGAGTCAATCTGAATTTGCTGAGTTATCGTCAACGAATCGATCAATACGATTCTGTGATGTTGTGTATCCTGAATCTCTCGTCATATTTAACTTCTTCTTTTAGGTTGTATCGTTCGATACCGCGATAGATGTATTTCAGAACTCTCCGAATCTATTGTCAATTGTGCGACTTTGAACCATGCTAAGTTATGTGCTGAGAAAACTTTGACAGGATATGAAGTCGATAAAACACATTTTACCATTTCAAGCTATTCTTTGGTGTAATTTTTCTTTTGGGGATATTAGTTTCTAAGTTCTTTTTGAAATAAAAAAAAAATCTCTAACTTCATTCGCTCACGATTGCATCTCTTTATGAATTGTGGGGAAACTATTAAACCCATAATTGAAGAAGAAGCTGGTGATGTAGCTACTCAGGCTCTTGAAGTATCTTTTATGGAGAGACAAGACAAGAC